ACAGTCAAAAAGGCCATCATTCTGCATAGTTTGCAGGCCCAGATTTTGACTACAGTTGTGATTCCTGCCATGCGCCCCAAGACGTGAACACTCTAAACGTTAACCTTGGAATTCTCGACTTTTAAACCCCAAACCCCCAACTCCTTAACCCCCATCCATGAAGCCTAAAGCCGCTCAGCAACCAAGGTGCTGTTCAGCTAAACCCTACCACTATGTGGGCTATCAGACCTTGAAATTCCCTGTTAGGACCCTATTAAGGGTAGATTAAGGTACCCTTAAGGTCCAATAGCCCAAAGTGGTAAGCCCTGCCCGGCAGCCTCGCTCCGTAGACCCGAACGGTTTAGGGCGAAGGATTTATGGTTTAGGGTTTAGGGCAACCCCTTTAGTCCAATTGAATAGCTGGAATATGGGATGTATGGGAATCTCATTATGGTTTTGGGTACTTAATTCCATACTCTATCTACTTCAGCGGGAGTGTAAACTCTGGCCCCTACATGTTGTATTCAAAATGCAGAACTTGATCCCCTAATCCATCAACCCCAGCGCTGGAACCTTATATAAACCGAAGAACTAGCCTCCAAGCCTGGTTCCTGAACAGGCAAAGAAGCTTATTGAAGGGGTTTAGGGTCTATGGGTTCAAGGTTTTGGGGTGTACCTAGACCCCCCAAGTACCCTCTATAGACCCTAAGTATCCCCAAATAGAAGCTACATAGACCCTATTTAGGGTACTTGGGGGGTCTAGGTAGGGTTTAGGGTATACAGTCCCTTGCAGGCTGCTGTCACATTGCAGCGAATCGTCTAGAGCTCGATGAAAGAATACGAACCTTTAAACTTGATATTCTAAGCTCTACCTGGGCCCCAAAAGTATGTAAAATAATGGCCTTTAGGGCTATTATTATGGGTTTAGGGCTATTATTCTACATACTTTTGGGGTTTAGGTATAGCCTTCAAGCCCTACATCCTACACAGGGGCATTTGTCGGGGCCGTGGCGCTGTGTGGCTCGCAAGGCCCACTTTGGGCGGTCGAGGGCGGCAACCAGGCCGGGATGTAGGGTCTAGGATTTAGGGCAAAACCTTAAGCCCTAAACCTTATACCTAAACTATTGTACAGGGTTTGGGTTTGGGGTTCGAAAAATGATTCCTTTACAGTTTTGATTTTGCTCTCACGTCCTACCCTGAAAAAGCCTCGTGTTTGGTCTGGGAAGGTTTATTTGCTCTTGAGTCCTGCGAAAAATGGCCCTGGTTGCGATTCTGGTCCTGCGAGAATGGCTCTCGTGCCCTAAGCCCCTAAACCCTAAGTTCACACTTGATCTCGAGTCCTGAGATAAATTGCCCTCTTGATTTTTTGTTTCTGCTCAAGCGTCCATGTTTCCTTTCAAGATTTTTGAGAATAACAGCACGCAAGAATACAAGTTCTGTTTATCATGGACTTGAGGGCTTCGGATTTAGGATTTAGGGTCAGGAACTTAGGGTTGAGGGCTTAGGATTTCAGATTTGGAAGGGTCGGATTTTTAGGATGTCTCTGCAGACATCACATGAGTGCAGCTGATAGGTTGGTGTCATTCACAGAGAGCCCTTAAGCCTGCGAGCTTTAGGTATGGTGGCGTTGTTGAGGCTTGTTGCATAACCTACTGGGATGTGTGTTGGGGGTGGGTCGCCTGCTACAGCTTACACAGGCCCTGTTTGACTGGTAGAAACGTTTCATTTCTTTGGCCCCGACAAGGGATTCCCTATCTGTTCTCCAAGACTTGGTCCAGAGCAATTGTTAGTTGCTTTATAATGGTAGCGCAATAACTCTAGAAATGACTGGGATGGAGGTGCGGGTGCTCATTAGCTGAACGCCTCCAATCTTTGTACTTCTGTACATGAGCTTTGTGTACTACATTGCCATAACTCCCGAATTCCCACGGTATAAAGTACTTCGGGTCCTCCTGGATTTCTATCATCAACCGCGTCTTAAAGTTTGCACGACCCAAAGCCGCAGCCTAATGGTCGATGCAACGACTGTGAACGCCTCAAAACCTCTTGTGTTTGTGGTTCAGGCTCACATGGCGGGTTCCAACAATCGGGGATTCTTTTCATGGGTCCCCATAATAAGGACTAGAGTAGAATTGAGTCTGTATTGAATATTGGAACCCTGGTTCATGGAAACTGCCACATCGCACTTTCCTTTTGTCTGGACAACCAAAGCCTTATCCCATCCTAATGTCTGGCCCCAGACCCTCACCCTAACCCTCAAGCCTAAGCTTTACATCCTAAACCCAAGCCCTACGCCTAGGAATCCCAATAGCCCAATGTAGGAAATATATACAGACTTCGGGGTTCAATATACGTATTAGTTGTATATTTGGACTCCTGTAGGGTACATTCTGAAACTCAAAAACCCTAAGCCCTGTAAACACTAATCCGTATCAGACTCGTCTGCAGTTGCTGGCCTCCAAGATCTTGGAGTCCTCCGGTGCGACACTGCGCGAGGCCACGGTGCGTCGAATTGCCAGCGCCGGAACGCGGTACAAGCTCTACGCAGACGTGGGGGGGGGGGGGTGGGGTCTAGGGTTCAGGGGATGCTCTAAGAGGCTGGGCAAATCACAACGATCTCATTCAACCTCACTCCCACTTTTTCTGTACATCAGAACTGTCCTAAAATGATTCTGTGTCAGATTTGGAAGTATCAGCAATTAAACCAGCTATGAAGCAGTGCTCAAAGGGTTCTCAGGCGATTGATGGAATAAGCGCGGGGGCATCAGGATTTCGGACTTCTGGTTATTTCCGTGTTGTGGTCCATGTTGGATGATCCGGAGCTGTGACTGTAGCGTGGATAAGTACAAGGCAACGTCTGTCTTCAAGAGTAGCAGATATCGCCTCTAGGGAGGTCATGCAGGAGCGGCTATGCCTATATTGTACACGAGTCCAGCGTGTTCCAGACACTGCAGCACCTCAAACCCATCCTCCAAAACCGTAGACCCTGAGCACTTCTCCCTTGAACTGAACTCTATGGTCAATGTAAAAGCCTCACAAACAAGAAGTACCGGTACTCTTTCCGTATCATCCTTGTAAGCCCATAACCCCTAAACTCAAAAACCCTAAA